ATCTTGTCCTACAAAAAAATATATATACTGTTATATATTTTATTTGAATTCCACATTTCAACAACAGCTGAAAGTTAGGTTTGGAGTAACACATGCACCATGTTATTATTTAATGGGGCGTTATTGTTGTGTAGCCTAGCTTCTAGGCCTAAAGTATATCAATAATAATCTTATTGTTACAGGAATTGGTGTTGGCTCTGATGATATACTGTAGTGTTATAGCACATCACCTTTATTTTAAGACAGTGCAGTTTTTAGACATTTAGGCCTAGGCCTAGACAGTTTTTCATAGGACCAGGCCTATAACTATAGGCCTTATAGTATTATTAGTAGGCCTACTAGGGGCCTGGCCTATTATGAAAAAAAATTAATTAATGTGACAAAGTCGCCATGGCATGACAATTCTAGGCTAGTAGTAGAAACCTACTAACTTTACCGTCAGCTGGATAAGGCTGCGTGCGAACTCACCTGCTGCGGGACTGGAGCAGTGTCCTGGTCAGGAGTGCGCTACTGCTGCTGGGTAGACACTGACTGTGCTAATCCTAGGCATAGGCCTAATTATAAACAAACAAGTCATCGGCCTGATATACGTTTATTAATTCAATTGAATTATTCCTCCATGATTGAATTGACGTTGACTAAACCCGTCTCTCTGTAACTGCGTACGTAAACGATCACAAAACTCACGACTTCACACTACTGTTATGTATTGTCTAGGCTAGTTGCTCGATCGTCGGGACGATTTTTCGATCAGCTGCTCGCCAAAATTGACAGACTGGTCTTGAATATTAATGAGTTGGTTAGAAAATGCTACCAAGCTACTGAAAAAAGTGATCAGCCTCGTTTTCAACTGATTTTCCCGTCTCATCACATCATGTTTTGTTTCTCTAATTATCGTTACATCTCAACATTTTGAATTTTTTAAGTTTTTAATTCCCAAACTCAGGAAAGGTTAAATAAACAATATATGGCCACTTGTCTCATCCCCACACTTCCCCTTTAAGGATGAGGATTTGAAAATAAATTAGATGGTTACATTGCATACTGTTTTTTTCTTGCTTTATTTAAAATGTTTTGGTTTTTGGAAGCTGATTTCAACATTAGAAAGCATAGCCTACATGAAGTCATATTATAGTAACTCGATGCCTATCAATAAAGTAATAAAAACTCGCCATAATTCATCAAATATCTGTGGACCCCCACCGGGGGCCCTGGACGGTCCCCACTGGCCCCAACCAAGTGAGACTCGATTCGCTCTTGTCCAACTGGTTGATGGTTATACATCACATAAGCCAACAGCATTTATTCCTATCGACAACCATCCATTTGATATGGTATTAGTGAATAATGCAATTCCAGGACATTCAATAGTCCAGTTTGCTAACCGCAAGCGAGTTTGTGTACTGTATGTTGCAAGCGTGATGGAAGGGTGACTTGAGGAGAAAAAAGAGTCCAAACAATTTTTCCAAACAGATGATAGCCCACATCATGAGTTGTGTCCACCAGGTGAAGAGTCGTGGTGTTTTTTTCAGGCTGCAATAGCACGAGGGGAAATTCCATCTTCCCCCAGATCCCACAAACCTATCTCTAAAGAAATTGCAGATGCTCTAAAGCAAGATTTTGAGAGATTGACAGTTCCAGTTACACTAGAGAAGTGTTGCAGAAATATAACACAAAACGCGAACGAGAGTTTCAATGGCCTTGTATGGCATAAATGCCCAAAGACAATCTTTGTATCTAGGAACACTGTCCTTACTGCTGTATGTATGGCTGTACAGAGCTTCAACAGAGGAGCTGTTGGAGTTCTGCATATAATGCATGAACTCCGTCTCAGCCACAACGCTGTAGCTTTAGATCATACCATTGCAAAAGATAAGCAACGCTTATCAAATGCCTCTAAGGGCGTAATTGAATTTGTCAAAGCGCAACAGAAAAGCAAAGAAAGTATCAAATGCAGCAAATGATCAGCGCTTTATTGATCAATACGGACCAGTAATTGACGAACTATTGGATTAGGAACTGTAAACACATCGAAAATAGATAACAATAAGACACTTGGACTTTGAATTCAAATATCTCATTTCGCAATATTTTTTAACTTTCTCAAGTTCACTGAAAATTTACCGAATTGAATAAAATTTTCACACAGTATTCTTTAGATGTATAAAATCATAGTGACATGGCCTTTATTTTTAAATATGGCTCAACTTTTTAAATTTTTGAGAAAAAAAAACATGTTTTTTGGCAAAAAAAAATATTCGGTTTCAATAAAATTCATATGTATTATTTAAAAAAATGTATTTATGTGTAATTATCTCTAGTCACATGTAACAGGTGCTTGAAGGCCCTGTCCTGAACTTTCAAATCACCTCATGAACTCACCAAGGTTGAATACCTGAACTTGGTCAGTTTTCCCATATCAGTTACTCTCAGATGGACATTAACATTCCAGTCCATGTCCCACCTCTTTACTGTAATTAATGGCTCGTACTTAACCTAGATTAGTTACCCTGGTATCGTAGATATTAGGGAATATTCTGAGAGGATAGGGAGAATGAGCTGAGATTTATACCCGATTCACACGTACAAAAATCTTACCAAATGTAACAAAATGTAACCAAAAGTAACATTTTACGGCACGTGTGAAAGTACCTCCGTGTAATATCCTTGTAACTATTACTAGTATTACAAGAGTTGACAGAAACATTGGAAGCTATGCCTAGTTTAGTAGTAGTAGTACAGCAGTTGTTAAGGGTATTGATTGCTTCGAATGTTTACTGTGATGGTGAGTTCAACAGTCCATCTGTGACAGGGGTTCTCAAAGGCCTTAGGCTAGACCAATACCTCCTTGGGCTAGACCTATCTCAATAGGGGAAAAAATGGTTCATTGAATAAACACTGAATAAATTTTACACAACCTTGGCATTACCTTACAGACGCGTGTGAATGCTTTTTATCTCGGTAGGAATAACTCGGGAGATCGCTCGGTTACAATTTGTTACTTTTTGTTAAATTTAACTTCACGTGTGAATCGGGTATTAGATGAGAGCAGATGCACTCGAGCTCGAAGCATAAAAGAGGGAATTTTATATAGAGGCACAGACAGCAGAGTATATGTGAATAAAATCTGGCCATACAGACACACAATATATATGCTTGTCAAGATATTTCTTGTATCGTAATCGTCTCTACACCCTCTCATCAAGTCACACACCAATCAGCGTGACACTATGATTCTACATCATCACACTATGTATATAAAGTGAAATTATGTGAAACAATAAACAGATGGAGGAGTTAGAGCATCAAATCTTCACCCTACTTTTTCCAGCCAAATTGGCCATAATAATGCTACTGTAATTAGGTGAACTTTGACCCAAGTTTTATATTTTAGGAAATGATTAACCCTACCTTATATTCTCACCAAGTTTGGAATTTGTAGAGTTAATAATAACAAAATTTTGAATTTTGGGTAGAAGCTTCCCTTAAGAAACAGCAAGTTTTCAAAGACCACGGGATGGGAAACAAGAATTTATTGTTATTTGATATGAAACGTGTTAAAATAACAACTACAGGAGCAAAAGACAGATTTAAAGTGCTTTTAAAGGCACATAAGCAGGAAGAGATGTAAAGTGGGAGGCGATAGTTCAACGAACGAACAATAATAAAAGGTGTTAAAATAACAACAAAAGGGGCAAAAGATAGATTCAAAGTGCTTTTAAAGGTTCATGAGTAGAGAGAGATGTATGTACTCAAATAGTCTGTTGCAATAATGAAAACGACGTGGTCATTTTCATTTACATAAAGTTGCAAAATCACCCTATTACCGAGTACCCTGATAGAAGTATAAAACTCTAGATCTCTACTAGAGAAAAGATGAAGAAATGCTTCAATCTGGATACTCAAGACTATGAGTTTAACATAGGCTGTTAAGTGGCGCAGTTATCGATGTTCCAAGAACTGTTGTCATAAATTCATCTACACCTTTGATCCACATGATCATAACATTGGTTAGTTTGATGAATTATAAGTATATACTGGTGTTATTATATTCAATGACATTTAAAATGCATAAACAAACATAATATGAAATATTTGATAGCCTAGCAATGCACCACATATGTTCACCTTAACACTGGTTGCAGGAGTGTGTGGATACATTCAGTTTATTGTGTGTGCATTTTATTTACAATCGTTTTAGCTCTAAGCTTCTAAAAAAGTGAGTGTGTGTAATTATTTTGCTCTATTATTATTATTATTATTAACATCCAGGATTTTTAAAATATTGCAAGTACAGCCATCTATTTCCTAATGTTGAGATTGGTGAGTTTTCATAAAGATAAAATATTTACTAAAAATGATTATTCATGTGTATTTCACACCTTTTTGTATAACTTTTATTCCAAAACCCTTCCCCCCACCCACCACACCCAAAAAAAAAAGCTTAACATTTTCACTAAAATAATAATTGTAATTGGAAATGTCTGGGTGGTTATGATTTTAATTTATGCTTGTACACATTATTTTTTATTAATAAATTAATTGTATACATCTATGTCATGGTTTGTGTTATCTACCCCTTAGTAAAAAATTATGTATCCAAATTTGGTAAGACTTTCTACACCTTGTTATGCAAACGTACCACCAAGCAAAAGTAATCATTTAATATTGTTAGCACACCATTGCCATATAAAACTGAAATTTCAGATAATTTTTTTTCTCACCTTCTTACAGAAAGTTATAAATATGATGTTTCCATACAAGATTTAAAAAGCTTTACCACATTTGTAATAGGTGTGTGTATTCATTAAAAGTTACAGTAGAACCACTATCAAGTGGACACCTTTCAGAACAAAAAACTCTCCCCTTAGTAGTGGTGCATCCTGAATAGCGGTTAGTCATAGTGCGATATACTTTCCCTCATTTAATGGCTGAAAAATTGTCCCCAATATTACGGGTGTCCCAAAGGATGGGGTTCTACTGTATTTAAATAGCTGCACCTTAGAATCCTAGAACAGTTTTGACTTTCCTCGTCTAAATTGTTGAAGAACATTGAAGCCAGCGTGGGCGGTACAGAGAAGGAGCCCTGTTCCATGTCCAATCACCACCCCAATTGAGCAAGATATAGGCCATACCTGTTACAAAACAAAATTATAAAAGTAATATGTTACGACAAATTTCAGGTCAAGTGAGAAATCAGTTGAGGATGTAGCATTTTTTAGCATACATTTAACATTTCAGTTCATATTCATTGTTGGGAAATGGAAGGTAGGTTTGACCTTGGAACAAGAGCAACGTTATTTGTTGTTGCAGGGAACCTTACTGGGTATAGTCTTCAGAGTGGGTGGTTATGTTTAGCAATTAAAGAGAGGTGGTACCAACAAATATTAACTGCTAGCAGGGTCTCCTTATCACACGTCGGAAGGGCCTCGCTGGTGCCTCCACTGGTCCCAAAGGGGAGGGTTATACATGAGAGTTTGGTAGTGTAGCTTATACCTGTATCGTTATGTTAGAGACGTACAATATTAGAATTTAGTATTTCAACCCTACCTGTACTTACAAGTAGCTGGTCAAAACTTACCTGCCATGGCCTATCCCAGTCAAGTGGTATTGGTACGGCTCCTACCCATGCTCCTAATAAACTGCAACATGCTACAGTCATAACATAGCTTTCAACTCCAGGCAAACAACTGAAAGAATTTAATATTTATTCTCAGTTTTTTTCCCACATCACATTCGCCACTTACAAGATGGAAAGTTACTTTATAAACCCTATATAGGCTTTGGGACAGGGTTTGAACGCAGGACCATACAGTAGCATTAGAAATCAAGCATCTTTATTAACCGAGCTACAGCTCCACTCAAATTTTCTGCTTTCTTACATTCTTTTAGTGGAAGTGGAAAGGCTGACAAGGCAATGACTAGAGAAAAAAATAAAACATAACCCTAAGTGAAGGCAAATGCATTCTCAATACCAATTTTAGATAACATGAGTCTCTGATAAAGACAGTTTAACCAATTATCCAAAATGAAGAACATTCACTGAAAGAAATTTACTATACTGTAGAATAATTTACTCAATTTCACCCTAAAAACAATGGTTAGAGGCCCATCAAAATTAAGATACACCTTGAAATGAAAATTTCTATGAACCTGGCAACTACCACTGGGGGACATCCAGAAGCATTTCGCTTTGTTACAAATATTTACACAGCTTTTTTTTCTGTTGGAGCTTTAGTCTTTGAAAAAAAATACCAAAACAAAAAAATAAGAAAATAGGGACACATAAAACCAGCATTGTTCTTGGTTGTTTTGGTACTGCTGCTCTGTTGGATGTCTCCCTGTGAAAAAAGTTTATGAGTCTTCAGACATTGGTGGTGCTGTTTCAAGATATTCCCGATAAAATGTTGTATAAACTTTTTATCGTAGTGATTCACATTATAAAAGGGTGAATTTGAAACACAATATTACCCAAATAATATTACATTCTTTTTATGTGGCTTACAAGGAGAACAATAATAAGATGGAGTATAGCAAAATTTAGTTTCCGCTGAAAAGAATGTTTTTTATTAGCTCCAATGAGGAGCTCTAGGAATACCCGGCTGATAGATTAACAGACCTTTTTGTGCTGCTTGCTTAATAGATCTATTGTAATATATCTTTTTTGTATGGGCGGCCGTTTGGGCCAATTATTTTTATAATTATTATTAGCTCCGATTAAAAGCTCTAGAAACACTTGGCTGATTGCTTAATACATCTTTTTAGCTCCTATGAACAGCTCTAGTATACCAGCTTCTTGATTGATTATTTTTTATAATAGATCTTTTTGTATGGGCGGGCGTTAGGGCCAATATTCTCTACTGCCTCTATTATACTGCCCTCATTGGAGCTTCCAAGTTTACGAGACCTTGTTTAATAGTATATATTAATATTTCTGATACATAGCATTAACCAAGTATGCCCTCCATAATGGAAAAGCCTGATACTAACTTGCCTACTTACCATCCTGAAATGAACCGATTCCAGGCTTCATAGTCAAGTTCATTCACCAATAAACAAGGTAATGAAACCAGGGTTGAAACTAGCACCGAGAATAGAAAAGTTTCTTCAAAATTTCTGCAGCAAAAATAATACATTTTCAATAAAATATCTTTTCCTTTTCTAACACTGGATGAAGGACATTTTTACATAAGGGCCAATACTCTTGATTGTGTTCATTAAGATGGCCTACATACATCGCTTTTTTAGGGTTCTATTACAGTACAACCATAACACTAATTATTATTCTATAATTAATCATTATTAAAGCCACGCTTCGGAGGATAAAAATTGTTGTAGAACTGAGTTTTCTAATACACAAAAAACATATTTGACGAAAAACTCGGAAGCGGTTTAATGAAATACAGATTTTTGAATGTTTAGAAACTGGGAGGAAAAGCAGAAAAAAGAGTGGTTACGTCCCCTTTTCCCCAGTTTAAATTTATTTAAAAATCTATCTCATTAACAGCTTCTGAGCTTTTCGTCAAAAATGCTTCTTGTGTCTTAGTAAAATCAGTTGTACAAAATATAAAAAATTTAATTTTCCTCCTGAGCCTGGACTTAAATACTAATAAGTTCTAAATTAGCCAAGCTAAGTACAATGTAATGAACATAACAAAATTGTACAGGTCACACTGTGGGGTTGATTATGGCACATATTTAACCAAGCATAACTTATTTCATGTTATTAAACTGATTTGGGTTTAGATGCATCAATCAAGTTTCCAACAGAGGAATAAAATATTGATTTTTGCTCCAGAAAACCACTGTTGGGCTATAGCACATTACCTTTTAAAAAGGAAAAGTCTGTCAAAAGTTGTTTTTTTCTAGGCCTGATCATCATTAATCATATTGTAGGATAAATACAATCACTCTTAAGCCACAATCGCACTGGACTTTTTTTGGTAAAACTAACCAACACGTTGGCTAGTTTTACCATAATTAGTCCAGTGCGAACAGCACAGGAAGTTTACCTGACAGGAAACTTACCCAAGCCGCGCGGTTAATTTAACCGAGTCCCGCTTGCCCAGGAAAACTGACCAGGCTAGTTTTACCTAGCAGGAAAGTCCAATGCGAACAGCGCGAGTCGGGTAAACTTCCTCAGGCTGTCAGGCAATTACGCATGAGCTGTGACCTGGAATAAAACCCTTGCTGGTGTTCTTTTTCTCCCCAAATCGCGATCAAACCGTGCGTTTCAGCATGCGTCCAATTTCGCTTCCTTTTTGCTGCATTGTTTTCTGCTGTAGATTTTCTTTTTGTTCCTTTTGCTACCGCATCCATTGTTGATACCCAAAAGCGAGCCTAGCCTGTCGAAATGCCGTACGCGCGCTTTCGTTAATTGTTTTGCCACACATACCGGAAGTGAACGTCACGATTTAGCGCCCCCAATAGTTGAATCTGTACGAATGGTTAGTTAAAAAAATAGCTATTTGTTGAAATACTCACTCAAATATGTAAGCACCAAACAAAATTGAAATGACATGGAACGCAATACAACTGGCAGCATAAAGAAGAAATAACAGAATTAGATTCCTCAACTCCATCAAAAGGGACTTTCTAGCCTAGTAAAGTAAGAAATAAATATTTTTACAGTATTCATAAGAGACAATCAAATTTTTACCAAAATATTGTAAGCATTTTGTAATTTCAACTGTGCATTGGCATGGCAATTTAAGTCTTACTTACAAAATTTGAGAAACCTGATCAAATCTCCCTCTTCCCACCCCCCCACTCCCCCAAAAAACATTTAAAAATAAGACCCCTCGGTGATGGCTCTTAAGCTAGCAAGGCTAAAATTAGCCTAAGCTGGTTGGGGGCACACATTTCAGTATTAATATTATCTAATCATGCATTTACGGTAACCACAATTTAACTATCCTAGGTAGTGTCTGTTGCTTTAAAGTAGGCCAAACCAAGAACACTCGTACAATTTAACAACTTGTATTGAGATTTTTTTTAATGATATACCTGCTTTTAATCAGTTGTTATTCAATGAAGGGCGTTCATGTTGGGGCGTTTACAGATAAAAATCCTTGATTGTACAGCGATACTTGGTAATTAGGCTTGTTTCAAAATCTCAAAAATTATACAGTCAACTCTCCCAATACCGACCACCCAGAAAACCGGATTTCACGCAAAACCGGTCGTTTTTTAATAGGTTTCACAAGTGATTTTTTTCTTATGTCTAGATATGTCTAATTCTATTTTATTCATAAAGAGACAAAAAAAAAAGAAATAAAATACTTTTTATTTGAAGCAAATCGGCTGAATACTTTTCATTTTATGAACAATTTTGTATTTTACTGAGATGAGGGACTTTTGCGTAATTTCTTATAATATCAATTTTCTTATACTTTGACACATCACATAAACTAAATAAATGAGAATTTGTACTACAAATTGGGTTAAATGTGTTATATTTTATATTTATTGTCACATATCATTCACACACCCGTTAAATATCAACCATTTTGAAAAATTACCATCTTGAAAATCACATTATGTACAACTATACAGACAGCATTGGCGTCAAAATAAGCGTTTCAGCCATGTTTGTGACCCACGTACACCAAAAGTAACAAGTTACACACTGTTTCTTCTGTATTTTCTTCAAGCACTAGTTACAGGCATTACAGTTAATTTTTTTCAGTTAGCACAGACTCTTAAATTTTGAGGTATGGGGAAATGAAAATACAAAAATGAGCAAAAATGACCATTGTCCCAACATCCAAAATTGAAATTTTCTCACTTATTTAAATTTTGGTGCATTATTACCTTTATGAACAATAATGAACATTATTATCATCATTTAAATGAAAATCAAGAATACCAACATCTTATCTCACCTAATCCCCTACCACTCCATTTTTCAATACAGTACTTAATTCGCCATAGCTTAACGGTCGTTCCATTATAATAAAACGGGTACCCTACCTTTTGAGTAGTTAATAATACATCGTCTAAGGCCTAGGCTAAATACACATTGTTCGAGTTAATTAATTCATTAAACTGTTAATCAAACAACTTAGCCTAGATACTGCTTTATATACTGGTGATTTAAATAGTTATTACCTGGAATTGAGCCTTAGAATTGCACCTACTAACACTAGATCGCTCCCGCGATCACATGGCTCACTGGCGGCGAGCTGTGTCGCAGCTGATGCCTCACCACTCAGGTCATGAACTTCCTGCTTGTTAAATCACGTTTGCGCACTTCCCGAGAGGGGTTATATTTTCGATTTATGTATTAAATTGATGTTTATAAAATTACCTATACTAGGATGTAAAAATCTTTTATTAATTTTGATTATAACTGTTTAAAATTTAGACGTAAACTTTAGAAACGCATTTTATACCGATTTCTAGCCCAGTACGAACAAAGATTTTTATACGGTTTTGAAGATTACAACAACAGCTATCAAATGACGTCAGTTTTGTACATGAACTCTTGACCGGGAAAGCCGCTGGCGTGTTTAAAATAACTAGGCCCTCTGAAAATCCCTGCAGCGATGGGCCGACGCAAAAAGTGTGCCGTGCTTCGGCGGTCGTAAGGAATGAATGGTACGTGATACAAGTAAAATAACAACATTAAATGAGAAAGGAGACATTTATCTTTCTTTTGATATAAATTTTATTGAAAACAGTTAAGAATAATGGTAAGAAAAATAAAATTGAAAAAGAGCAATTTTCAATAATATAACCTCATTTCCAACAGTAAGCACTCGGCTGTTGTCATACCTATTTTTAAAGTCCCAAAATCATTCCTATTCTTACTGTATTAAAATACTTTCTGAAAACCGGATCTCCCAATTCCGAATTCCGGCCAAATTCTTAAGTCCGGAACCATAAAATTACCTTCTGAAAACCGGACGGCCAGTTTGAAACGATGATTTATTGACGAAATATGTTAAATAAATCATCGCGAGACACATCGACTGACTCCAAATAACAACTATCAATCACAGAACAACACCACGTGTACGATCGTTAGTGTTGATCGTGTGACACGCCGATAGCGCATTAATTAATTAATTGCAATAAGCCTACATTTCATTTGTTTAATATACTGATAAAAAAAAAGTTCATGAGTGTGTTTTCTTTATTAAGGAACGTATCCTTTTCTCACATTTTGCATTCATTCTCACGCAAGGCAAACCAAGCGGTCGCAACATACAGCTATCGATTTCATAAAAACAATTGCGCATTTTGACTGTCACCTCTGACTGTTTACTATTGGCTGACGCAGTTTAGGGGGCGCTGCATAAGTTAGCACCTATTTTTAGCATTCAGTGACCCACTAAGGATATGCCAGCGGCATCGAAAACCAATCAAGCATGCAACCACGTTGAAGCGAAGCAGATTATGGCGATCGAACAAAAAATAACACTGACACTTATTATAAATTACGACATTAAGTTGATTTGTGTAAATTTTTATTGATAATAGACTTCGACACAAAAAAAATAGGTACGTACAACATACAGTACAGACAGGAAATATCGCTTCGTATCTGCGCGTAACCTCTCGTAGCCTGCTCGTAGGTACCGTTTGGAACGTAGCTACGAACCACTACGAAGGTCATTGTTATTTTAATTAGCTTTGCAATGATCGTAGGCTGGATCGTCGAGCTGATAATCATTAGGCTGGATCGTCGGGCTGATAATCAATGCGTAAACAATATTGAAATATAGTTTACCAGCTTTCAACACGTAAGCAATGTTGCAATTTACTAAATAAACAATGTTAGAACTTTATTGTTTTGTTATATCCTACCTTATTATTAAATCGATCATGTTTTAAAACTGTGTTTAGTTCGCTAGCTGGGTGGGTAACCTAGAAGTGGGCATTCAGTATGTCATTTAGGCTTACGTACGGCCTACATTTTCCCCTATAGAGGAGGAGAGCAGACAGTAGTTATACTGGTTAACTTTCCAATTCGGAGAATTTTGATCTGATATTATTCTTCTGGTAGTAGGAATTTTCTTCTTTTAAATAATACTGATGACAAATCATGTACAAATTATTACGATTTCTACAGATCACGTTGTTTATTGTTTGTAATTTGAAGCAGAACAACCTGCAAAGCGATCCAATACTAAATGGAAGTATAGAAATCACTACCTTGCCGAATTAAGGCTAGTCATGCTAGACCGTATTTACTCCGTTTTTTACTCACTGTTGCTCNNNNTACAAAATATTATTTGATGAACAATCTTTTCACATGTGTGTATTGCCATTGAGGACATCGTTTTTTGACATTTTAAATGAGGTAAAATAATTGTAAATGAAAAATAAGCTAGGCCTAGGCTAATTAAAAAAAAAAAATAATACAGAAGTACAAACAAGTCTGTCGTGGACAGCGAGTGGAAGAGGAGACTCCCATGAAGTCAAGTGTACGTTTTTCTTATTGAAAAACAGTTCCATACTTTAAATTATCG